ATGGTAAAAATCGATAGATGAGTGCACATTTATATGTTTAAACTTCGGACGATTTCACTCTTGGTACACGCTACTGGCTTGGGTTATTCCGTTGACAAACCTAAGCATACCGGGGGCTTATCCAGGACGTCTGGGGTTATGTTAACGGCCACTGGGAATTACACGAGTAGGGCACATCTTAAACCAATATTAATAATTGTACTAGATAGACATTGTGTAGGTACGAGCCCCGGACAAAAAAGCACTAATATATTCAAGCTATATAAACTTGTTCATTATCACCTACGACATTTTCAAATGTGTTAGCGTCTACTGCATTCAACTGAAATGAAAATGACGGATAGCACGATGTCACGAAATTCTACTGTAGTGAGTCACTGCAGGAACGTGCAGAGTGTATATATATATACACACACACACATACGAATAATATATTTGATATTCAACCGTGGTGTGTTGTTATTTATTCATGTAAAAACAAAGTGAGAAAATGCTTATTATCAAGAAAGAATTAGCATTGTCACCCAGATGGTGAGAGGTAATTGGCAGATTAGTTGTACATGGTGCAGGGTCCGACGATCTGCTGATACTGTGCCAAAAGGAAAATTTGGAAGGGGTCACTATCAGAACTGTAGATCAAGAGTTAACACAAGAACAAGAAAAGATAGAAGTTTCATAAAACCCAAGTGCCCGTGCAATTAATGGAATATGAGGCTTTATTCACAAGCGAGCGCGCGCACGCACGCAACAGGGTCCTATAATAGCATCCTTCTAGAAGGCACTTGTTCTCAATTTAAGATAATGACCCTAATGGGCTAATCGTTCATCTGTTGGTTTTATATAAATCTATAGTATTGTGTATTCGTAAGCAAGATCAGTTACTGGACGCTTTTTGTAGCCTACAGAACAAATAGATGGCTTGCCTTGAACAAACAAATCCGACAATTTAAAGCTTTTTATGTCACACATTACAGTTTATACACCAGTCTTCCACGGCAAACAGGGATTATAAACAAATGGATGAGCAGCCGGCCACTGAGGGACTATCGGCAGAATAGCGTTGAACTAGATTTAAAAAAGAGGTATTTTTTAATGTACACACGAAAAACAAGGCCCTAATGTTCCCAGTTACTCTTCAATCACAGCGAAACTCGAATTTTTCGGGGATATTTTTTGCTGGAGTTACTCGTTACGTGCACACATACACGTGGACATGATAAAGTAGTAGATATACACACATACCTATGGGACTGATGGTCTTTACGAGGCACGTCGAGGTTATGTTTGTTTTATGTATTAGAAAATAGCATCATCTCTAAAAGGGCAAGTTATAACTATATTAAATATTAATATAAACAGAAAATTCATGAAAATGCCGCTCTATGAGCTAAATATGCCAATGGCCATTGAAACGTCTCGCCATGATTGAGACGGATTGACTTATTACTCCTCTTCCGATAAGCCATTGTACGTGTTGAATTGCTATGAAGACACGATATTACTGCATTAAGAGTTATATAGAGAAGCAGTCGGTAGCCCGTCCAATTTCTCATTGCGGGTCGATATTTCATACACAGATATTCAACGGGAGAAACTCGTTTATGCAAAAGTTGTTGTTGCCCACCCCTTTGAAGACCTTTATCACTGAACTGAGTTTATTCAACATCCTGCACCTTGTTTTTCAGATAGATAAAATGTAAAATGGTAGCTATCATTATCATTTATCTGACTTATGACAACTGTGCTAGCTCAAAGAAAAACTCGCCATATCCCTACGGGATTTCGAAAACACAGAAAGCGAAACAAATAGAGGGATATAAGCGAGAACAATTGTAGCCCTTCGATCACTTCTTACGTTATATTATTACTGTTATTTTTACCGCTACTTAGTTTATCCATTATTAGATTAGAAGGAGTAAACCTGCCGAGCAATGCAAGGCAAAAACGATATTTACTAAAGGCATAACATTATCAGGTAGTGTGGTAATAGTGGTGATGTTGATACCAATGTGATATTTTTGCATGTTTTGGTTTCGACCGTTCACCATTGTCGAATGTCCGTCACGCGAGGAAAATGGCCCGTCAAAGGGGCCTGCCAGGTCAGTCAAGCTTTCCTCGGTGATTGCAATCAGGAAATGGGAAATAGAGCATTTGATATTATCACGCCAAACTCGTGCTTGGAGCACATATATTCTATAATATCTACAATGAAATTAGTACTGCGATAAACTATACTATCCGTATGGATCAGTGATAGGACATATAACTTATGATAACGTCGAGACGAATGTCCGCTCCTAGGAACTGCTCCTTCCCTTCTATTTGTATCTATGTATATATTTCCTAATATAATTCCTTGTAAGGAACATTCTGGGGGACCTGATTTTATGAGACGATCTATTAGACCTGACTTGATTTAAATCGTTAGAAACTTTCCCCAGGCCAGATAGAAACGTGTCGTTTAAAAAAACGAAAAAAATGAAAAAGGAAAATCATTTGAATACTAGGTTCGCGGGACGAAATGTTTAAAGGGCTGACGGAAGTGCTTTTTGGAACATGACGTGAAATATAAACATTACTGGGCTGTCGCTGTAATGGAGTCGCAGAAAGGCGTAAACCGAGAGTGATTTCTTTTAATGAATACCTACATATAACCCACTGCGGTTTAAAATGACCATGTCCTGGGTAAACTACACACATATTCTATAAAATATTGATAGAAAACGTCAACGTTACGAAGCATCTGTATAAAAACAGATGTCTATATATACATACACTTACATACACACACATATATATATATAAGCGTAGATGTGCTTAAACTAACGTCAGCTATCAAATCTTGCGAAGAAACTATAATAATGGATGTGAAATGGAGATAAAGTAGCATATGTGCAACATCTACGAGTGCTCGTCTCGAGATTCGTTTTTACATCAATTATATCTTTACTGAATACTTTGCTGGATTGGATATATATGGAGAAGATCTTTTATTAACAGAAATTACTTAATTTTTTATTTACTACTAGACGCAGTCACAGGAATACATACGTATTTTAGGTTACCTGAACTGGGAAAAGCTCATTCACATGAAGGGAAGGTTTGTGCACCTAATTGCTCATCGGCCGCGCTCAGTAGCTCAAGCTCTGCCATACGGAAACACTGATGATGCGGTTAGTCCATTCTCATAGAGCCCAACGTTGGGACTAACCTCAGCCAAACAGGGTATCATCTTGTCGAACATATTCCATAAAGTTCTGCAAAAATTATCGAGCCCAATTACCTACTATTTAACTTGTCACTAGCGTTAGCTTACATTTATGTACAATACTTTCAATAGCAGTAAGTTATCCATACTTTCCTTTAGATATAACGAAATCCGTTGACAAGTTGAATTGTACCGGGTTGTTGTTTAGACGAAAATCATCCATATATATATATATATTCGTCACAAACCAAAAGTAAATCCTTGTTCCACTTTACATGACGGTGCCGCCTCAAGTTGTTAAGAACTTCTAAGCTAACTTGTACATGAAAATTATTTTTAACAAGTTAGCTTTCACAGCGAAAGAAAGAGGGTATCGACATTTCACACGCAGCGTTCATCGCTGGACTAAACGTACTTTAATTTTTTGTGAACCAAAATGAATACGAAGCGTCCAAACGTCGTTGGTCCCGTTAGAGTGCTACGGTCGCTAAGCATTTTCTTGTAATAGTAATGCTTAGAAGAACCATAAACGAAGAGTAGGCGCAATTATTTACTATTTACGAAACGACGAACCCTAACCAATTTCCATCGTGGACGAAAAACTAAATGTAAGACGATTACTTTTCACAGTAGTTACAAATTGAATCAACATTTAACTTCCACTGTAACTTTCGACGTAATACTGTAATTGCCATTAGCAGAGAAAGAAAAGTTTTTATCAAAGTACAGAGATAAAAACAACTATTTATCATTGTTGGGAGAAAAAACGACTAAACAGTATATTATTTTTTACCACTACTACTCTCCGCCGACAAGCGTACTAACATTATGGTAAAGGAAAAACGATCGGATTATTATCAAGTAAATCGCCCTAGGCAGAACTATCAAGCAGAAACTACACTGACGTTACGAGTTTAGCCATTGAACGCTGATTTATAAAAGGTTTTTTGGTAGACACTGAGTATGAGTGGCAAATCGAACATAGCGATAAAGCGGTGTACTGTGTATGACCCGAAAAAATTGAAAAAAAACCCGAAAGACCCGAAAAAAACGAAAGTCATAACATGCAGTACGATGAAAATTCTATTCGAATAAACAAGTTGCTGAAACAATTAAAAGCACTTACTTAATCCTATATAGTAGATTAGAGGGAAATTACTGAATGGCAGTTCATAGACATCTCGAATATTCGTGTCCCTGTTCAGAAAGCTGACTTGACCGCGATCAAGTCAGCTTTCTGAACTTATTTAGGGTAAACTTTGGTTGTGAACGTTGATGGGGTGATGAAATATTTAGATTATATTAATGCAGAACTTAAATTAATTACAAATATGCCCCAAAATCTCAACCTTAATCTCTTCGTAACCGTAATTGACCCCTGTTATTTGGGGTCCCCCAAAGATGATGTCTATAGTCCAACGATCAGGCGATATATTTCGTTGATAATATTTACGAACATTTGATAATAAGCAAGTGATGACATTCGAGACTACAAGTACGGTCAGGGCCAAACTAAAAAGGAAACTATTAAGGAAACTACCGTGGGAGGGAATAACTTCGAACAGGTAGGGCTACTCTGAGTAGTGGACCAATTCCTCGTTACAGTCAATGTTCAATGGTTAAAATATTTGCTCTAGGACATTCGAACTTATTCGGGTACGTCATGATGCTTAGTGGATG